ACAGAGCTTTAAAGCTCTTTCATGTAATTTGATATTAAAAAAATGTCAAGAACACAATGATTTGTACATTGCTGTCCAAGGTGAGTTGTGCTTGATATAGGGCCCAACAGTTGAGGGTCAAAGGCCTTGAGACAGGACTCAAAAATGACTTTGTTTTGTTGTAATTCGGATCTCAGGGTCTGATTTGCAGCTAGGGCATGGAAGTGGGAGGACACTGGCCTAGGATTTGGGAGGCTTGTGTTCCAGCTCGTGTTTTCTGAGGCTTGTGATTCAAAATCTTTGTTGGATTGAGTTGCAGCAGCCCAGGTGGTTAGCATCCCTGGCTGCAGGCGTCCTGGGAGATCTTGGTCAGGACACTTTATCTCCCCACGGTCCCTCGCCTGTGAAGTGGGGAGAATACCTCCCTGATTCGCAGGGATGTGAGGAGGACAGTTTCCAGTAACAGCTGTGGGTGTGTTCTTGACGAGATGTTGCTGCAGACCATTAGCACCAAAGTAGGAACTGCATTAAGAGGAGTATTGAACTGCAAGTGAATGTGCATAGGGAGTGGGGGAATATTGCTGCTACAGGCAGGCATTGTTATTTACATAGATAAACCAAGCAAACTGCAAAAATGGGAAGTCTTGGAATGGCAGAAACTCAGCATTCGGAAGGGTCAGAGCCAAGTGGTAAAATGCAGCAAGCAGAGCCACATGGGAAAGCCGGTACAGCCCGTGCCTGGAGGAGAACCTCGATTTTCTTACAGCAGTTCCTGGTTATCTAACTTGGGATAATGTCCCTTGATGTCTCCTGCTGATAATGAGGATTCCTATCATTATCTGGGTCCTCCATGATGTGGAGATAACTATACTAACCGAGCTGACAGATAATGTCTTCATGTTGTCCAGGCCGAAGCCATAATGAATACATATATGGGGCTTTATCAAAGACACAGAAAGACACACACCCCCTGTTATTAAGGAAAATGCCTGAAGTGCTGGCATTGGCTGAAAACAAATACAGAGGTAGAAGTATTAGAATATATTGCAGTCATGGCAGGGTAAAAACACAGCAATCAAGATGAGCACTTCTCAGACCTCAGAGCTGGCATGCACATAGTGATTCTGAAAAGGCCTTCACAGTTTTAATACTGAATAATAGACAAACTAAGCATAATACTCTGCTATGGCCTCATAAAATGTTTTAATTCTTTGTAGACAAGCTGTAGGGTTTTTTTATTACTATTTTTATTTTTTCCATTTGCTTGTTTCTTGGCGTAGCAGTAGCAGATAATTTTTAAAGGGCTCTGGTTCATAATACGGAACTGATCTAATGGTGGCTTCAACCACAAAGCGTGGGATTTTACAGTCTGCCTAAGGGAGCTCAGCACCCAGTCCTCTTTAATTTTAACAAGCGCTGTTGATCAGATTCCCGTGGCAGCTTTGGAAGTCAGCCGCAATTTCCAAGCCTCTCTCAACTTACACCTTTTAGAAAGCACAGATAATGTACCAGTAGTCATGTAGATCAGATAAACTACAACTGTTAGGGGTTACCTCCTCATTTTACAAAGAAAGTATAGATCATTTAAATATAAATTAATTTTTTTTCAGATGCTTGGAGCAGTTGCCGTAGAGGGAATGTATCCAGCAGTTGTAAGATTACACACCCTGCTGTCTGTACACATATCTATCTTTTACTATGGACAGATAATGAATTTTAGTGTCACTTGATGTGTTATGGTGCTATTTGAAATGACAGATACACCTTTTCTCTAAGCACATGTTCACTAACATTTTTTCCTGTTGCAGGGAAAAGCTTCACGCTGACTATCACGGTCTTCACCAATCCACCCCAAGTAGCCACATACCACAGAGCCATCAAGATAACGGTGGATGGACCTCGTGAACCCAGAAGTAAGTGAGCTAACAGCAGCACTTGTAAAAGGCCACATTTGTGGTTTAGTACAGGGGCTCATCCCTTGCCACATGAATTATAACAATAACCAGTGCATGTGGAGCAGGGAATGTATCTTAAGCCAAGGTTGTGTTATTAATGGTTTTAAATATGCCTTCCTGAAGCCTTATTTTACATGGGTGTCCATCTGATAAAGAATTTGAAGTGCATTGCATTTATGAAGTATCTACCCAGGGATAATTTGGATCATGCCCAAAAGCTGACAGAAGGGATGCTGGTAAAAGGTGGGCAGCCTATACCTAGTGCATCATTTCTTGCTAGTCTTGCCATTCAGATGTTAAGAGGTTTTTAAAGCATTGGAAACCAATATGTCATTGATCTAACTTTTCAAGCTCAGCCACCCTGCAAAAATAAATAAATGTCTGAAAGAGGGTAGTGGCTGCTGCGTAGTAGAGTTCATTGTTCCTCATTCCATCACATAACTTCAGAAACGAGTAAGTGCTGAGAATAATACTGTGAACAAGCAGATGTACTTTATTACACCAGAACAGCCATCTTCATGGACAGGCAGCCTTTCCTGTATTTTTTCCTATGAATTAAGTATGAGGAGAATATGAATGATCTGGTATCTCCAGGGGGACATTTACACATTTCTCACATGCAATTATTTTGCTAGGTTTGAGAGGGAAGTTTATTTTGTTTGGGGAAAAGCAAAGTGAGGGTGGGACTGATAAGAACTCATAGATGCTTTTGCAACACGTGTTCTGCCTATTACTGGGGGCAGTAATTAACCTCAGTCACTAGCCTGAATGTAGGATTTTCATATTTTTATCAAAATGCCCTGATGTAAATTGAGGTTTGTGGTTAGCTTCTTTCACTCCTCCTGCACGCTTGGCAGAAGCAATAGCTGTTGCTTAAGTGATATCGTCCTGGGAGAGGAGAACAGTAAGATTCAAACACCCACTAGAGGATGAGACTTTCATCTCAGGGTTACTTAACTGAGTAATGGTCTGAACAAAAAGGTCTGAAACTTTAGCTAAAATAGCCTAGAAAACTCAGATCTTTCACATGCAGTTTTATTCTTAAGACTTCATTTGCCCGAGTTGTGCTATAATGCTGTGTGCATCTAATGGAAAAATCTGACCTATACTTTTTGGATTTGAGGCTAGAGTTTAAAATAAATATTGCTGTCAGGGTGAGGCTTTGTATTAAGTTTTTATTTATTTATTTGGACACTGTGGTTAAATTGTCCTGGAAAAATATCCTTAGTGAACCAGGCAGCTCCTTTCATAAAATAGATGTTTGTATGTGCAAGTTCCAGATTTGTGTGTGCAGTTACCTAGACACATTCATGGTTTGCAGAAAACAGATAAGCGTTAGTTTTTTGAATATGAGTCTACTAGAATTGTAGAAACAAAATCATCCTGCAGGCATGCCTGCTATTTTAGATCAATTCTTCAGTTGGTATAATAGTTAATATTTAATAAGATTCTACATTTTTAAAAGGAAGTAGAGACATGATACATACCGAAGCAACATATGTATCTTCTTGACTCAAACATATGTAAAAGTTTCCTCATATACGATTTCACTCTGTCATAGGCAAATCAGACATACAAAAGAAGCTAGGTACACACGGAAATGCTATGCATGTCATGAGAAGAGGTCAGACTTCCTCCCCAGCAGGAATGCACAGCTCCTTTTACTGCTAAGTCATTCGGGGCATAGCGTAGAATGGGTTAGGCTCCTTTCAATTGCGAGTTGGCTGCAGAGGCCTTTGCTTTGATTTCTCACCAAGGCTTTCTGGATTGCAGCAACTGCTACATCAGCCTGGTATCTGCAGCCCACTTTATATCATCTGACTGAAATACAAATTGGCTTGAAGACAGGCTGTGAAGGGAAAAGCAGCGGTACCCAGTCATTCTCCAGTCTCTGTTACTCGTGTTCAGTATGCTCCTGACCACAGCTCAGTTTTCCTAACCAATGTCCTCTCTCCAATTTCTAATAATTAGACTGAGATTCCCTCCGAATAATTCAGAACTGATACAGTTCTGGCTAGTTTGGGCTATTCATTGTTTTTCTATATTCATGCGTGGTGAGTGTATCCTGTTTTGCATTGCTCTGATTAGCTCAGTTACATTTGTAGCCTCTATAAAACTATACAGAGGGGATTTAAAAGGGATACCTGCTTGCTTGTACACAGATTGGAATCAGAATGAAAACTGCTAGATTAAAGGAGTGTTTCTAGTTTCAGTAATCAATATTTGGAATCTTTCATGTTTAGTGATCCATGAGCCTCTCTCCCCTGAGCTAAAAGAATTACAGATATATTGAGATGTATTTTCTAAAATATCCCCATTTAAAAGAAATCTGTGGAAGACAGTTATGGGAACAGAATTAGGTATCAGTCTCTTACAGATATCTAGAAAACCTTGGTTAAGTCCCAAACCAACTCCAGTTACAATTCTTGATTCATTTACTTTATATTTATAACAGTTCTCTGTCTAAACTCGAGACAGTGCCTACATTCTCTGTGGAAAATACTGGAAGGTCAGATGCCATTTTTGAGGCATCTTAAAACATCACAGAAACATCTTCTTTTGTCTTCAGAGAATATCAGGTCAAGTGCAGCTTCTGAGCCAGGGTAACAAAAATTCAAAAATCGTGTTTTGTAATGAAAAAGGCAGGTTCTGTAACTGTGCGTGTTTGGTGAGAAAAAAAATGAAATAAAAATACAGAGCCAGATTTAAAGTTATGTTTGGAGAATAGAAAGATACCCTAGCTGAAGGCTCCAAAAGCCAAAGCACAGACTTTCTGGCGCACTGCGATGTGTGGAGATGTCACCGTGTGTGACAGTGACATGTTGTGCATCACCACGCGCGTGCACCCTCACTTTCTGTATGGGAGCCTGACCCTCCAGTGTCCCAGACTTCAGATTCTTCCATGTTGCATTCTGTCTTTGATCACACTTATTGGCATGGCCAGCTATTTGTCTAGCAACATATTTGCATATGTGACTACCAGATTTGCATTTACAACTGTGGTAATTACTTGTGTGCATTAGTTACACCATTGTCTTGTTTTGCCATTGAATCTCTCGCTGTGCCTGTCCAGACAATACTTCTCATCAAATTGTCATGGTTTGCAGAGAGAGCCAAGGTACTTAGGAATCTGGCTGTTCGTCCACTGCTTTCATTATTTATTTTTAAAGTCTCCTTTGAACTTAGTATTTTCTCCAGCTTAAAATAAATGCTTTTAAAAAATAAATTTATTTATTTATTTATTTTACCAAAAGAAATAATACTGCACTGGCAAGGAGAAGGGCAAGATGACCTCAGCCATCATTTTCTTCTCCAACTTCTCTGATTCTATGATTCATAAAGCAATTTATGTTTTTATGAGCTAAGTCTATGGGGAAAATCATTAGCTGTAACCAGATCAAGAGTAGTGCTCCTGATGAAAATACTTTTGGTTAGGAAACTTGGTAGAAATAGCATGACTCTTAAATTAAGTATTTCCCTTAGGCTATTTGACCTACTGTGCATCTCTGCCTAAAAATTAGGTTTTTTCCTTTTGACTACTTCTTTCTATTTTTTTTCTCGTTGGTTTTTTTAAACTACATAGCTCTGAATAATTCAGTTATAGACCCAGCGACTGAAAAGTGGGTGCAAAATCAAAAGACTACACGATTTCAGACTCAATGGGCCTAAGCTGTGCAAAGTTAAGGTGTTTGTTAAAGGTGATTGTCCCATAGTGGGATATGTGTTTTTTCCATTTTTTTTTTCCTATTCTTTTATCAAAGAACAGGGTGCTGAGGAGCAGGGACCAAGGGAATGAAATTGCTGAGCAAAATCTGGGAAGGAGCTTAAAAAGCTGCTGGCCCAACAAACAATCTTCTTAGGGACTGATGATTCTTCTCATGTCCTGGCAAAGCTACCTCTGTATCAGGTACACCTTTCATTGGTCATAACTTTTAAGTTCAGCTTCAGACCTTGATCTGAAGTAAGCGTGTCTTACTTGTAAAATGAAAGGAGAAGCCCGTAGATGGTTTGAAGGAAATATCCCTTTGCAGAGACTTCTTGCCTCACCTGAGACTTTTTTGAGGGACTCCAAGGGCTGATACA